GGACATTTAGGTAGTTTCCAGTATTTTGCGGTTATAGATAGCACTGCAGTGAATATCCTCATGCATGTACTTTTATCTTCCAGATAAGTACCTACAAGTGGACTGCTAGGTTGAAGGGCATGATAGTGATTTAAACTTTTCTTTTAAGCTGTATTTAAGTGGGCACAAAAGTGAAATGGTTTAAATAAAATGATTAAATAAATAACAATCAGTACTAGCAACAACAGACATGACAAAAATCATAAAGTCAAATGAGTGAAGTTTGAGCAAAACAAGGCTAAATGATTGCCACAGTCCTTTTAAACTCCAAAATGGAGATCTGATTGGTATGGGGAAGTGGCTGATAGTATAACAACTGAGGTTCAGAGGAAGCCCCCAGGAATCCCCATCATCAGAGCCTGAGTCCCAGCCTCAGTCACCACCAGTGTCCATGTGAGCCCTCTGAGCTTCCCTCCCTGGTGGCTGCAGCATGGTTCATGTACCCTGGTAGGGAAGGTAGGCCACACTGAGGACGCACAGTGTCAGTAGGGACAAATGGGAGCTGAGGCCTAGAAGCAGCACAGAATGCCAGTGTGCTGGTATAGCACAAAGGAGGGGTTCACTGTGACTCTGAGTCATCAGGAAAGGTCAAATCCTCTTTAGCATCAGCTTTTACAGATTGCTGTAAAATCCATTTGAGTGTGGTGAGAATCATGGGAGAACTTTTCCCTAGAAACCTACCCCCCATTACACCCAGGCCCATGAGCGTTTTACATACAGTTCCAGGGAGTTGCCAGACTCTAGGTAAGAAGCAGTACTTTTAAGGACTATTTGTGTTTTGACATTTGAAGAGTTGATCTGCATCCATCTAGAAAATTAAGTGAAACAGCTCATCCCACAATGTGCTGGCTAGATGAGTAAAGTCGGTAAACTTCATTCTGTGTAGAGAGGCCCTGTGGGCCTGGTCCTACACCAGGACAGGACATGGGGGTAGGCAAGGGGAATAGTGCTGGTTTCGTGCTGCATTCCCAGCTGTATTGAGAATTCCTGTACTTCACGGTTTCTATTTTCTCATACACAGTATCCCAGGGTAGACCAAACCAGTGGCTTTCAGGTAGTTTTGTGAGAAGGCCCAGAATTCCAGAAAGGAGCTCTGCTGAGTAGTCAGAGATATTTGGTACCCACCATCCTTTACCTAGAGCAGCTCTGGTCTTATGTGTTTACTGCGTAGGGTACCCAAACAGTTGTCATTCAAAATTAATATTCAGGCCCACTGGCTGCGGTGGCTAGTGCTTGTAATCCTAGCACTCTGGGAGACCAAGACAGGGAGATTGCTTGAGGTCAGGAGTTCAAGACCAGCCTGAGGAAAAACAATACCCCATTTCTATAAAAAATGGAAAAATTAGCCAGGCACCTATACACCTATAGTCCTAGATATTAGGAGGATGAATCAAGAAGACCACTTGAGCCCAGGACTTTTAGGTTGCTGTGAGCTTTAATGATGCTGCTATTGCCTGGGCAATAGAGCAAGATCCTGGATCTGAAAGAGAGAGAGAGAGAGCAGAGAAGAGAAGGGGACGGGAAGGGAGGAAGAAGAGGGGAGGAGAAGGGAAGGAAGGGAAAGGAAGGAAGAAAGAAAATCAGTTGCTTAAAACATTAGATGAGCACTTGACTGGATTATCTGTAACTACTTCTTTGCTCCAGAATTCCGATAGTGTCCAGGGATATTAAAAAGCCAGAAAGGAGGGGCAGCGCCAGTAGCTCAAAGGAGTAGGGCACAAGCCCCATATGCCGGAGGTGGTGGGTTCAAACCCAGCCTGGTCAAAAAAAACCAGAAAGGAGACAACCTTGTCTCCGTAGACTTGGCCTGCAGGCTGAGGTGCTAGGGCTTGGCCCTGTAACTTTAGGGAGTCTCAGAGATGAATTCCCTCTCATCCAGGCAGGGACATAGCCATGCCTGGAAAGGGGAACTAGCAGCCGCAGGGGAGGTGGACCTGTGATAACAGGGCAGAGGCCCGAGACTAGGAGGCAAAGGGGAGGCTGACTTCATAGTCTTGATCAGGGATCTTTGGTGTCTTTGATGGTACAACTCATCAGCAAACACAAATAAGCAAATACATGCAAATTTGAAGCATGTCTCTCCCAAATACATACACATTTATTTATTATAAATTATACATATTTGTGTTGTGCTAGTGTTATGGACAGTATAAAACAAAATAGATTTTAAAAAAAAAATGAGAGGAGTTAAAAGTAAAAGTCCTACTGCATCTTGCATATCCAGTGAGGTGTCTGTATCTACCTTGGGGAAGACGAGGAAAGCTGGAAGGGCAAATGGGCACCTGGAAGAGGTTGGTGAGAGAAAATGCAACAAAAGAATGATGGTTCCTAACAGCTGTCCACACTGTCTTCCTGCTCTGCTCTAACAGGGTACTACCTGAACTGCCATTTACTCAGCAGGTTTCTTTGAACTGACTCACTTGTTTTTTCTCCTGAAATTTAATCTTATTTTATGCAGTGATATCCATAAAAGGTATTCTGTGCAGCTATAATTTTTCTTCTAAAGCACAGTGAAATGAATATACAACTATGCAAACAAAACATTTGTCTGTGTACCACATAGGAGGCGTCTGCTGGCTCCCACCTTGTGATAGGATCCTACCCTGTGGGAGACTCCCATCTGATCAGATTGGGAGGGAAGAGGGCCAGTGAGTGAGCTTTGCAGAGGGCCAGGGCCCATGTGGACGTAGAGGGTGCATTTCTCTATGCCAGGGGGCGACTGTAAGAGAAGTCATGCCTAATAGTCTGGGGAGGGTAGGGGAGATGGGACATCTCTACTTAGTAATGCTTTCTACACATGTCAGTCACAGATGCTGTTGGGCTGTGGCCCACCCTTGCCTCACATCGCAACCACCATAAATCCATTAATTCCTCTAATCTTTTAAAATTCTGTTTTGTTTTATACTGTCCATAACACCAACACAAGACTGTATTGGACTGCCAAGACTTCCCTCATTGGGCTAGACCAATGAGTCATTCATTCATCTGTTAAAATGATATCTATTACGCACCTTCTCTGTGCCAGAACCTGGATTAGCCAGTGGAGAACAAGACAGGTAAGGCAGCTACTTTTATGAAGCCCCCATTGTAGTGGAGGAAGCCAGACAGTAAATAAGCAGCACAACAGAATTTATTTGTTTATTTATGTATTTATTTTGTTTTATTTTATTTTAGACAGAGTCTTACTATATTGCCCTCGGTAGAGTGCTGTGGCATCATAGCTCACTTCTCTTGCCTCATCCTCCCAAGTAGCTGGGACCACAGGGGCCCACTACAACACCCGGCTATTTTTTTGTTGTTGCAGTTGTCATTGTTGTTTAGCAGGCTCGGGCCAGTTTCAAACCCACCAGCCTCGGTGTATGTGGCTGGCACCCTACCCACTAAGCTACGGGCACCAAGCCCACAATAGAAAATTTAAAATCCAAGTAGTTGTAAATGCTGTGAAGTAAAATCAAGGTAAAGGGGGAAGGAGAACAAATCTTTCATTCCAAATAATTTGTGTAGGTACTTTAGGTAGAATTCTCCATTCTTTAATGTAACCTGTGCTAACTGACGTTCTTCCAGAGTTTGGTGTGGAAGGAGGAGAAAAAGTAACTTTTCAGTAGAGACAGCTGATTAGTGTTAGCTGGTGAAGTATTAAAGAAATGAAATATGAGTGAGTGTGGAGCTTTAATTAGAATAATTTTAAAAGAAGTAGAGAAAAAAACAGGTGGAGAGGGTATCTAAGATGTCTCCAAAGAGGAGACATTTGAGCTGAGCCTTGAATGGGACATCTCCACATGGATAGGAAGTCACCCTGGGTAGGAAGGACCTGGGTGGGAGCCTTCCGGGCAGAGGCAAATGCTATGTAAAGGCCCTGGGGTAGAAACTATCTTGGGTTGTTGAAGAGCTAGTGAGAAGCCCAGCAAGGCAGAGAGAACCAAGAGGTGAGGTCAGAGGTAGATGGAGGCCAGGGTGGTGGCCAGGTGGAAAGGCATCTGGATTCCATCCTGAGTGTGATGGGAAGGCACTGGGAGTTTTAAACAGAAGTGTGACATGAGCTAATTTCTTCCAAATCACTTTGGGATTGTGCAGAGAACAAATGAGGGCTGTAAGATAGTAAGCAAAGGCCAGTTAGGAGGCCTTGGCATGAGTCCAGGGGTAAGACCTGGTAGAGGCCATGTCTGAGCCCAAGTTACACATTCTCATTTTTTCAGAAACAGAAATGTAGGTTCACATTCCATCACCTTTTTCTTTTTTACCATTATGTTCCCCCAAAGATGGGGGAAATGACCTAAATAATGACCAGTCCTGTTCCAAGAACTGACTGACTGAAAGTCCGTGCCCACATGGCAGAGACCTCTGTGATGGAGGCACCGTGAAACTCAACTACCATCCATATTTAATTCAAGATCTTTTTCTTTGGTGGTTCATAACTTTTCTGAAAATTAAAAATGTACGCCATGCTTACGTTGTTTGGCACAAGTTGCCCTTGTTTAAATAGCAAAAAAATAAAACGAGATTTCTAATTTCTCACTCAACCCAAAAGTTGTGCATGGAAAAGGAGGCTTCAGTGACATCAGAGCCTTTTCTGAAGTGTGTGTCATCAGTGAGTTTGGTTGTATTCACTAACCGTGTATCTTCTCAGCTGACTCAAATCCCTTGGGAAGGGGATGTGGTATCAATAGAGTAAAATACATATCTCCTTAATATCTTCAAGTAGGATAAATGATTGCAGCGTGTGTTTTGTCATCAAAATCAGGGACAGGTTTCTTGGTATTGCTGAGATGAACGGAAAGAGAGGTTCTGGCTTCTGTCTTACTGCTCCCCCAGTGTTACTGGTGTTTAGATCATCATTCTTGGACATTTGCGTGACATGTTAGGAGTGATTTATGCATAATTATTCTCGAATATGAGCATGTGTATGAGTCTAGGTCTGTAAAGCTCTCTGGGCTCATCTCGGTCTCCTTGTTGGCTTCCAGAGATTGAGATGGTGATCATGGAACGCAGCAAGCTCTCGGAGCTGGCCGCCTGCACCTCTGTACAGGAGCAGAACACCACTGACGAGGAGAAGAGTGCTGCAGCCACCAGCTACGAGAGTGCGCAGTGGAGCAGGTAGCTGCCGCCCTGCCTGGACTCCCAGCCAAATTGTGCTGCCCCCTTTCCTTTCCCTGCTTCTTTAATCTCTGGCCACTCCGAGATATGGCTCCTCTCAAGAGGCACTTGGACAGAGCCGTTTCTCCACACTGTAGTGCTTGCCCCTTGGAAAGAGATTGCCGGGACAAGACAGTGCCACCCCCAAGCACTTTGTATTTGTGCTGCATCTTAAGGACGTGACCATACTTCCCACTGGCTGCTGCTAGAAATGCTCTGCTTCTCCCAGGAAGGATCCCCGCAGGAGCCAGGCTTGGATCGCCCTGCCTGGTTCATTCACTGCCACGTATTCTCCCGTCAACAGGCCCTGCCCTCATGAGTCAGCTGGCACCATTTAATGCTGCTATTTGCTGTCACCTTTGTGCCTAATTGTTCATTTTGGTGACAGCCTGCTGTAGCTACCTCCTCTTAAACCTTGGCAACTCCACATTCCTGAAACTTTGCATAGCACCAGCTTCTCCACAATAGGAATGAGTGGAAGGCCACTTCCACAGTATGCCTGCATCTGTTAGGAGGGCTTCCTCGTCCCGGAGTTACTTCCTTATCAGGTGGCCCCACTGCACAGACTCTTACAGCAGCTTCCTTGTTAGCACTGCCTCAGTGTTAGTTAACAAATGCATGACACGGTTTCTCTGTCAGCCTACGAGGCATTCACTTTCTGAACCCTTCGAGTGGTGTGGTGGAAATATACACACAGCCCATTCTATTGATTAATCCACCTTGAAGTGAAGAGTTGAAGCCCACTAATTTTCCTTCTGCATCCTGTTTATCCTGTTTACTTCAGACATCTAAAAGAATTTTTTATCAGATGTCCAAGGGGCCATTTTTAGTTTTTGTTAAGTAAAATATCCATTGGAGTATGATGTGAGCTATCAGTTGTTATAAATTATAAAGACTTTTTGATTTTGCTTGGCAGCAAAAAATGTAACTACTTCTCAAGCTCTGAAAATTAAGGAAGTCATTCTAAACACAAATCTGGGGCAAACCTTGGCGTAGCATTAGTTAGAATATGAATAATTGGAAAAGCCACAGGTAACTAGCAGTGGAGGATGCTTAAGCAACCGCAGGTGTATCTGCTTTATAGAACATTGGGTATTGCTTTTAGGTGAATACTGTCATGATGTGTTCAGTTTCTTAGATCAATACATGGAAGCAGAGAGTCTATTTCACATAGTATGGTAATACTGTAGCTTTGCTAAAGGAAGAAAAACACCCATGTATTTCAGCACCCTCCCAAAGCAGGAAAAAAATAGAACAAAGTGTTGTGTTTGAAGATCAGGGTTAATGACTTCTTTTTTTCTGAATTTTGGGAAAGAAAGGGGTTCTCTTAGAGTTGATTGGGATGGTTTCTTAACTTAGGACATCTTCAACCACATGGCTTATAATAGAAGTTTATTCAGGTGCCTTGAATTAGGCCACTTGTAGGCCTGGAACCTCTGGGCCAGATCTCTGCTCTTCTCTGAGGCTGAATGCCAGGGGAAAGACCTGGGTGGAGAGTTGCTGTTTTTGAGAAAGTGCTACCCCTCTGTCCTCTGACTTCCTGGCAGGAGGGTGCTGAAGATGATAGAAGGTGACCATTTGTTCTCTAGGATGTGGATTGGATTGTGACATTGGTCTGTTACCTGAAGAGAAACAGTTTAGGAAAAAGCAGACTCTTCTTCTGTTCCCCAGATGTGTATTATGGCCAGCATCTATCTTTAGGGTTAAATGAAGCCTAGGAAATGAGAAACATTCAAAATGGTGGTTTTTAAAATAACTATTCTTAAAAACACTTTTAAATATTATGAAAATACCCATTTAAAAAATGAAACTCTTGAAAAGTATGAAGTTACTTCCATTTTAGTTATTTCTTACCAGTTTTTTTTTTTTTCCTTGTGTGTCAACTTTTCTGGAAATTCTGCCCTCTCTTCCCCTAGTAGCTTGGATCATTCCACATCTATCTGTTCTTACTCTTTCTTTTTTCCAATCTAATATCAAACCCCTAGTATCTTTTTCACTTTGTTATATTCTTAGTAAACAGAATGCTTAATAGTTATATAACACTTCATCTTATAAAGATGATGCATTCACCCAGCCCTCCCACTGCTACTGGCACTGGTTATTAACATTATTCTTGAATGAAACTATAACCCACATCTCAAGCAGCTGGTTTACAATAAAATGTTTTATACTTTATCTTGCTCTTAAGTTTGAAAGCATTATTGCTGAAGGCTTTCAGAAAACTAGACCTACACATGGCAAAACTATTAACACATTTGATCAAACATAAATGTCCTTTTTAAGGTTTTGGTTTCTTTCTTTCTTTCTTTTTTTTTTCTTGAGACAGAGCCTCAAGCTATCTCCCTGGGTAGGGTGCTGTGCCATCACAGCTCACAGCAACCTCCAACTCCTGGGTTTAAGCGATTCTCTTGCCTCAGCCTCCCAAGTAGCTGGGACTACAGGTACCCAACACAACTGACAATTTTTTTCTTTTTTTTTTTTGGTTGCAGCCATCATTATTGTTTGGCAGGCTCAGGCTGGATTCGAACCCACCAGCTCTGGTGTATGTGGCTGGCGCTTTAGCCACTTGAGCTGTAGGCGCCAAGCCGGGTTTCTTTTTTAAAATTTTGTGTGTCAAATGTTTATTTGAAACATTAAGACAAGTACCTTTTTACTACTTTTGCATTTTCAATTTAATGTTTTATATTCATGATACTTAGAGTTAAAAATTCAAAAAAATTTTCTGTTCAAAGGTTCTATAGTGAAGAGTCTCCCTGTGTCTCCACCCTGCCCAGTTTCACTCCTCATAGGCATCTGATGTTGATAGTAACTTGTGTGTCCTTCCAGGGACTAAATGCACCCTTGGTCAACCATTGACATACTCTGTTCTCTTGGCCTCAACCTGGCATCCATAGGGGGCAGCTGCAGATGGTTACAGGACCAGACCTCCTGCCTACGAGCCAGATCTGTGCATGTTCTATTATCTTGGTGTTGAGGAACCCTTGCTGACCAGGCTCTTCAGTTGGAAGGGCAGCATTTGGGATGTGTGGTTTCTGATAGTGCAGCCACTCTATAGATCTCGTCAACAAAGTGTCAGGGGTGAGAGACCTTGTTATCAATTCTTACCAGTCAGGGCAAGCCAGTCCAAAAAATCACTAGGGCAGGACCCTGCCAACATGAAATCATGGAGAAGTGCCCTTGCAATATTAAACATAGAAATCAAATAGCAGCTCCCAAGTACTGGCACCTTCCACAGCATCTGGGCCTGTGCTAAATGCTTCTCAAACATTATTGCCCTTGAATTTTTAAATTAACCCCACAAGGTTCTAATTCTAGTCCTAGGGGTGGGGAAATGGAGAGGTTTTGAGTAACTTGCCTAAAGGTTTGCAGTAAAGAAGAGGCAAAATCAGAATTTGAACCTAGACAGTCTGGTTGCATGGCCCATGCTCTTGAACTTGTTCATATTGTTCCTTGTCTGGTGTTGTCAGTCTATCACATTGCTCATTTTCTTCATTCTCTTGTGACACACGTCATTTTGAATTGCTGTCTGTCTGTTCTCTGTTTCTGCCAACTGGCATGGCAGTGCCAAAGAGCAGGGACTTTGTATCAATTATTCCCAGTGTCTGGGACAGTGGTGGGTGATTGTTGAGTGACTAAGTGATCTGCTCCTTGGTCATTTTCCCCTCTAACTAGCAGCGTTGTGTAGAAGGAGCTTCCCTCTCATTTGTCTTTGCGGCTGTGGTGCCTAATCTGTGCACACAGTAGACTCTCTATACATAGGTGGCCTGAATGAGTGCAAAGATGTGAGAGGCAAGAGCAGATGGTGCCCCATGTGCAGGTGAGAGAGGGAAGGTGTTCACCTATGTGCACCTCAGGGTTCACATATGCCCCTCCTCTTTTGCAGACCCTTCCTGGATATGGTGTACCATGCCCTGGACAGCCCAGATGATGATTACCACGCTCTCTTTGTGCTCTGCCTCCTGTACGCCATGTCTCATAATAAAGGTAAGCACGTGTACCTTGCCTATCTCCCCGGCCCTGCCTTGGGTATTTGGGATGAGAAAGGCGCCTTTCCTGCAGGATTTCCTTTCTCTCTTCAGTGGACTCTCAGAGAACTCCTCCTCAGCCTTGTTAGAATTTCTCAGGTGTTGGGTGGCGCCTGTAACTCAAGTGACTAAGGCACCAGCCACATAAGCCAGAGCTAGTAGGTTCAAATCCAATATGGGCCTGCCAAACAATGATAACTACAACCAAAAAACAGCTGGGTGTTGAGGCAGGCACCTGTAGTCCTGGCTACTCGGGAGGCCGAGGCAAGAGAATTGCTTAAGCCTGGGAGTTTGAGGTTGCTGTGAGCTGTGACTCCACAGCACTCTACCCAGGGCGATAGCTTGAGGCTCTGTCTCAAAAGAAAAAAAGAATTTCTGAGGTGTTTTTCTACTAATTGAAGCCACAGGGACTGGTTACTCAGGCAATATGGGGGAAGGTAGGGAGGTGAAAGTTTTGACTGCCTAACCTTGTATGACTGTGTTCACACCGTGGTTTTCATTCGACCCCTTGATTTACAACCAACTTAGCATCTGACCTCTTTCCTAACATCAGAACTGAAATCAGTCAAACTGTAATCTTGGTTTTACTATTTATAATATTTGACGTTCTTTCTCTGGGTTCAGAACTAAAATAGACCCTGGGTGGATTTTGTGGAAGTGTAGGTTTCCTTTCTGAAGAAAGGTGTGGTTCTCTGGCTTCCACTGTCGAGTCTGTGTGACCAGGATTCAGCTCCTGTGGAGGTGTGAGGTTGCATTAAGATTCATTCACTCACCTCTTACTGCCAAGTCCTGGGAATAATCACTAATGTTTACCTCCCACCCCCTGTCTTGATGCAGGCATATTCTGAGACCTCATCATAATCTCTCCAAAGAGGAATGTAGGAATATTCCTTCTAGCCCCTGCCAAGGACACCAAATCCAGGGATGTTTCAGCAGGTTTTTCATAAGCTTGTTGGGGAATGGGCAGACTTAATTCTACTAAGACAGCCTATGGCTAGAGATATTAAAGTGTACACAGCAAACTATAGTAAAACCTCCTTAGTTGACCACCTCCTTAATTTGACCTAATTTTCATAGACCAGACATGCACCACCTGTGCGTATTAGTACCGTAGGCCTAGTTCCTTATGTTGACCACCTCCATATGTTGAACAGTTTGTTACAGTCCTTTGGGTGGTCAACTTAAAAAGGTTCTACTATAGTTATTTATTCTTAAATCATTAATCACGACAAATAGGTCAATTGGTGACAGAGAATATATGGTAAAAAGAGTATCCCCTCCTACCTTTGGTCCCAGCTCTTCTCTTCAAAGGCAGTTCACACAGCCAGATTCTTGTGTGTCTTTTTAAGGACAGCTGAGAAAACTCAAGTGGGAGTATATATGCTTTTATTTCTGTGACTGTTGGCCTGACTATAAATGGAGGTCTCTCCTCACATCATCATGTGTCAGTCCATGGGTTTATGTCCACACAGAACTGCCTTATTCTTTTTGACTGTGTATAACTGTGCCATCATCTATTTTGTCATCCCTTACTGAATGTCAGTGAGACTGTCTCCAGGCTTTTCCTATTGTAGATAAGCCTAACCATGCTGACTCCACTCAGGTGCAAGTCTGTAGATCCAGCCTAAGACTTTAAAAAGAAGGGTAGTAGGTTCCAAAACCTGCTGACATTTTCCCCACCGTCCTGTCCCTTCCAGCCCCTGACTTGGTACCTGGCACGTAGGAGCCCTCCGTTACTAAGGGTAAACCAAACTCCATGAGGCCCGTCTCTACCCTGGCCTCCATGCTCCATGCCCTCCTCCTTTTATCTCTGCAATTACAGCTCCTGATTACATGCTGGAGACTCCTACCCAGGTGTTTCAGCAATAGGTTGAAACAGTCTGTCTACCATTACACTCATATCCCACAAATATACCCCAACCTGGTCATACTTCCTATCATTTCTGTTTTACTTGAAGTTGCCAACCAAGGTTGAAACTGCCATGACCTTTAGCTCTTTCCCTCTTTTGATCCCAGTATTTAGTCATCAAGTTTGTCATTTTTTCCTTCTCAGCCTATGAGATCAGCAGACTTCAACGGAGTGCCTACTCAGTGCCTGGCTCCAAGCTATATGCTGGAGGTGATAGCCAAAGGCATGGAAACAAGAGAAGTCTGGGCATGTCACTCCAGTAGCTAGTATCTCACGTGTGGACTAACTAGTGGCCTCCCTGAGGGGTCAGACATATTGCTATAATCTTTCCTCTATTGCATACTGCAAGAAAATCTTCTAAGACTGTTTCGACCATATCCTTTCCCCATCAGAAACCTGTAGCACCTGCCTTGCTCCCTTAAATTCCACCCTCCCATACCTGTCATCGAGGTATCCCAATTATATCCCAGTTGTATCAGGTGGGCTTGATCTGATTCCCAGATTTCCCTTGACAGACTCCTGGCTCTAGCCCAGGAGTCTTCAAATTTTTATGTAGTCACAGAAATCTTCCTTTTTTTTTTTTTTTGTTTGTTTGTTTGTTTGTTTGTTTGAGACAAGTCTTACTCTGTTGCCCTGCATAAAGGGTCATGGCATCTTAGCTTACAGCAACCTCAAACTCTTGGGCTCAGATGATGCTCTTGCTTCGGCTTCCCAAGTAGCTTGGACTACAGGCACATGCCATGATGCCCAGGTAGTTGTTCTGTTTTCATTAGAGATGGAGTCTTGCTTTTGCTCAGGCTGGAAGGCAAGCCACCCACCTTGGTCTCCCAGAGTGCTAGAATTACAGGCGTGAGCCACTGCTGTAGAGATAAACTGGTAGCTGCTGTCATGGTACTCACTCAACTCTTTAATGTTCTCTCAGTTGCAAGCAACAGAAACTGCCTCTTGTTAACTTAAACTAAAATGGCAAGTCTGTAGTAAGGCCGCTGGGGCAGCTCACAGAACCCGAGATTGCTGCAAATCCTAGGAAAGGACAGGAACCAACCAGCAAAAGGACTCTGAGTTGGTCCCAGCAATTCCCAGGCTGGGAGTCTGGCTTCATTCAAGTTCCAAATCCCTGGGCAAGAAATATGTTTAGCTTGGTGGTGTGTCTAACTCTGGAATAGTCAGCTGTGGTGGGGGGCAGGGTGACATAGCACAAACTGGGTCTCAGGAAGCTCAGCCCGGGATTTGGGACTGTTCTTAGGAAAAGGGGCACCTTTGGAAGGCGGGCTGCACCTTTGGAAGGGGCACCCAGTCAGTGCCAACACTCCTGTCTGCTCCTGAATCTTCTGCCAGCTTCATATTTGTGTTTCTTCTGTTCTATTTTTTTCTTTCCCAACATCACCACCTATTGAAATTCTGCTCGTCTGTCAAGGTTCTACCCAGAAGTCACCACTCCAGGAGGCTCTCTTTGATCCTTTCAGGTGATGGTCACTGGAGCTAGCACCACCTAGTGTGGCCATTTATTTATGTGTGTAGCTTCATTTGATCTGTTAAAATTTTGTTAAGGGTTTTTACGTCTATGTTCATGAGTAATACTGTTCTGTAGCTGGTAATTCTCTTGTCTGTATTGCTACCAGGGTGATGCTTAACTTATGGGATCAATTAGCTAATATTCCTTACTCCTCAATTTTCTGGAGGAGTTTTTGTGGAACTGAAGTTGTTTTTTTCCTTAAATGTTCCTTAAACCAGTGAAGACATCTGGGCCTGGAGTTTTCTTTTGAAGGAAGGTTTTTAACCACTCATTTTCTTTGGTAGGTATAGAGCTTTTCAAGGTTTTCTGTTTCTTCTTGAGTGAGCTTTGGTATTTTGTGTCTTTCAGGAATGTGTCATTTTGTCTCACATGTCAAATTTGTTGGCATAAATTTGTTCATAATCTTTTGTTATCATTTTAATGAATGTCTATAAAATCTGTAGTGATGTTCTCTCTCTAATTCATGATCTCAATAATTTGGGTCTTAACTTTTTTTCATGACCAATTTGGCTCAAGGATTATATCAACTTTATTGCCACTGTCTATAATTGTTTTTCTTGTTTTTTATTTCATTCACTTCTGTTCTTATGTTTATTTCTTACCTTCTGCTGCTTACTTGCAATTTAATTTATTCTTTTTTATAGTTTCTTAGGATGGAAGCTTAAATCACTGATTTTTTAAAGCTAGTTAATATATTTTTTTAATTAACATACAGTAAAATTCACTCTTCTTCATGTTTACTTTTGTAAAATTTGGCACAAGTATCAACACATTACAGTTTCAATGTTTTAAAAACTTCCTCATACCTTCTCTATACCAGTCTCTGATTTTTAAATCTTTTTTTTTTTATTTTGTGTCTAATATTATAAATTTCCCTCTAAGTGCTGCTTTGGACGTGTCCAATAAATTTTGATGTATGCTGTTTGTTTTTATTAGTTTAAAATATTTTATACTTTCCCTTTTGATTTCCTCTATTCTGTCATTTGTGTAATTTCTAGCTGTTTGTCTCTCATGGATTTCTCTCCTGCTTTTGTATATCACTTTTTTATTTTTGTATGGCTGATAATTTTTGATTGTTTGACAGTTACTATAAACTTTATATCGTCGAGTGATGGATTCTTTTAAAAAATATTTTGGGACTTATGGTTCTCTTACTTGGAATTGGTTTGATACTTTTTTGAGGCTTGCTTTCAAGCTTTGTTAGAGCTAGTCCAGACAGCCTTTAGTCCACAGAGGTGATGCCCTTCAGAGACTGTGTATAATATCCCATGGTCCACACTGGCCAGCCGTGTGCGAGCTCTAGGGCAGCAGGTCTTCCCTCACTCACGTGCAGGATCGGAATGTAGCAGAAGCCTCAGAAGGAACACTCTGCATGTCTCTGGAGCTCTCTTTAGTCCCTCCTCTTCAGTACTCTCTCCCACACATTTCAGCCACTTGACTTCCTCAGACTCCAGACTCTTTCTTCTCATCTCAGAGAGACTGTAGGCTTTGTTTGTGTTTCCTCTCCCTGTGCTGAGATCTGGGTACTCTCCCC